CATAGTTGTTTTGATTTGCATCTCTCTTAGAGCTAGGGATTTTGAACATTTCTTCATGTGCTTGTTGGCCATCTGAATGTCTTCTTTGGGAAGTGGCTGTGCATATCCTGTCCCCATTTTTCTATTGGATCATTTACCTTTATCTTGTTGTGGTGCTCAAGTATTTTATAAATTCTAGATATGAGTCCCTTATCGAATATGTTGTTACCAAATACTTTTTCCCAGTCTCCCACCTCTCTTTTCTCATAGACCATCTACCCATTTGCCCACCTACCCTCATTAGCCAGCCATAGGTCATGTGAGGAGACAGGAAGAGCAGTTGCAGACAATAAATGACCAAAACAAAGAAAACCCAAATGTCTGTCACTAAGCCAATTCAGGCACAACAACTCTATAGAGCAGGGAGGGGAGGAACTGCCCTTTAGAGTTTCTAAGTCTATAAACCTTTATTGTGACTGACTACTACAACTTTGTCCCATAGGACAGGTGGATTTGAACCATTGACCTTCCTGTTAGAAGCCCAACATTGTAGCATTGGCACTTCTAAACAGACTAAGCAAGGCATAGAGTGTGATAGAAGACTGCTCTGCTTCATAGCTGACAGCAGTCCCAGGGGCAACTCAGTTATGCAGAATAGGGCCCCACAGGACCAGAGGCCTTTAAAGAAGATCCTCTGACTGGTAACTTTACTGCTGTCTCACCTAGTGTATCCTCTGCTGTCTGGCCCCTAGGATCTAAACCCTTTTAAAATTATTTTCTGCAAGCACTCTCTTCAGCACCTTCTGTCTCCTTCAAAGAGCTAGGGACACGGTATCTGAATTCTGTGCCACTCTGCCACCTTCTGGCTGTATCACAAGTATGCCACTTTTTCCTCCCCAGGGTTCTCTTTCCTCAGCCTGGAAATACCCCCTGCCCTGTCTGTGGTATAGTTATGGTGAGGTTCAAATGGCCTGTGGAACACCTCAAAGACAAAAGCCTGACCCATGGATATTATTGTCTGTACTGGGTGTCAGCCCAAAGGTCAGTTCTGAGAAAGACCACATAGGACAGTCAGTGGGCAAAAGCCTGTCTCCTCCCAGAATGCAATTTGTCCTTATTGCAAGCTATTGCATGCTACTCACCCTTTCATGATGAGGTGCTCCCCAGAAGCTCCAGGTCCTCCTGAGTAAACAATCCTACCCCAGGTCCCAGTAGATCCTGCCCAGTGGCCCTCATCCTCGTGTTAGGAGCTGGCCATCACCAGCCTGGCCTGGTTAGTGAGCAAAATGCTTTCTCACAATGTAAGCCCTGACAAGGAGCAACACCATCATCTCCGTGAAAAAAAGATGCTACTGCCAAGACACTCCTTTGAAGCCCCATTCACCTCCCTCTCTTCTCTGGGAGGCAGTTTTCCATTTCTCCAAAGTTATATGGTATATAAAGTTTTTGGCAGGGTCTATCTTTGCCTTGAATCCTCTGGTAAATTCTGCCCAAGGCAACTCTGTGATAAAGAAGAATTAATCCACAGGATTTTCTTGGCTCTAATCTTTATAGAGGACCGGGTCTTTCTCCCAAGGTACCCCAGGTGGCTTTCTAATTGCTATCATTCTTTGGTTACCAGCTGAGAGCAAACCAGAGCTTTGAATTCTGGTTGGACTCCCTTGCTAAGAAGTTGCATCCTCTCTAAGAGAGATGCAGATCAAAACAACTATGAGATATCATCTCACCCCAGTCAAAATAGCAAAATTCAACAGAGCAGCAAACAACAAATGCTGGTGAGGTTGTGGAGAAACTGGAACCCTTATTCACTGTTGGTGGGGGTGTCAAATGGTGCAACCACTGTGGAGAGCGGTATGGTGCCTTCTCAAAAAGTTGCAAATAGAGATACCATTTGACCCAGCAATTCCACTACTGGGAATATATCCCAAAGAGACCATAAACGACATCCAAGCAGATATATGCACACCCGTGTTTATCATGGCTTTGTTCACAATAGCAAGGAGTTGGAAACAACCTAAGTGCCCATCAACAAACGAATGGATAGAGAAGCTGTGGTATATTCACACAATGGAATACTATGCTGCATTGAAAAACAAGGAACTCATGCAATATTATTCAAAATGGGTGAGCTTGGAGGACATTATGCTGAGTGAGATATCTCAGTCACAAAAGAAAAAATATTGCATGGTGCCACTGCTGTAAAATGGGACTGATATCAGGGTGGGGGTAAGACTGAGAAAAACTGGATAAATTGTGTATACTGCACTGAAACAGATGAGGGAGTGAATAATTTAAAAGCGATGTATGATAGGGTATTAAGGTCATCACAAGAGTCCACAATTAAGGTTGCATAGTGGAATGTATTTGGGGTGGTGGGAGGGGTGCGGGGGGATTGTGTACCAGGGAGGGAGTCTTTCTTTTACTTTTGAAAGAGAGGAGCAAACTGGGGGGTGGGGGGAGAGGGCTGGGCGGGTAGAGAAGTGCAGCAATGAATGAATGGAAATCCAAATTCTCTGTAAATGTTCATTAAAATTCTTTTAAAAAAAATCCACTAGCAAAAAAAAAAGAAGTTGTATTCTCACCCCAAATGTACTAAATCAGAATCCGTAGTTTATCAAGATCTCCAGGTGAAAGTAATAAACTAAATCTGAATATGGCTCCTTGTATCTTTATCAGCCACATCAATCAGGCCTAAGACTTGCTGCTGTGTGTTCTTTGCTTCATTCCTATTGCTTATTTAATAGTTTCTTCTGTTTTTTTTTTTCTAAAGTTAAATAAACATTTTAAAATACTGTATGGAATATGATCCTTTGCATGAAGAGTTTCATAAGAATCTCACATGTTATTTCTTCTTACAAGAAAGTTGTTGTTATTATGTGCTATGAAGTCAGAACTGACTCATACATAGCTGACCCTCCAGTAGATTTTCAGAGGCTTGTAGATCACAAGGAGATTGCTTATCTTTCTCCCACAAGCAGTTGGTTAATTCAAACCAAGTGCCTCAGGGTTGGTAGCATAATTCCTTATCTATCACCAGGCCACCAGAGAACAAGAATGCAGTATTCCTATTTTAACAACCAGGAAGTTCAAGCCCACACAAGTAGATTGTGGTAAAACCCAATTCTTGGGCCGGAAGCCCCATTCTTTATTACAAACCCCAGAGTTTTGCTTCAGTTAGTTGGAGACAGGTATTTTCAGACTTACCAGGTGATTCAAGTTTTTCAGGAGCTCTCCCAGATGATTCTGCTCTAAATTTGTTTCTATTACAAATGTTACTTATAAAAAAATAAATGAGGAAGGCTACAGGATGACTGATAAACTGACACTGCCCTGTCCCAGGACACTCACCGTAGACTTGCAGGATATACTCCCGGATGTGGGTGTTAAGGGGCCTCCTCAGGTTAATGCGGGCTCGGTAGTAGCCTGCATCCTCCCGGCTCAGGTTGCTGATCTTCAGAGAGTGACCTGGGCCCACAACATGCAGTCTGCCCTGGTAGCGGGTTTCCGATTGGTGAAATATGTCCAGTCCTCCAGCTTCTCTCAGGGTTACCTCAGCAATTGCCACAGAGACAGTGCGGGTCATCCAGGAGACACTCTCCACCTGCTGTCCAGGTGGCCACTGCAGGGGTAGAGTGACAGACGCCCCTAAGGTGCCAGTTATCACCATGCGGGCTGAGTCCTCAGAGGAAGCCCCGGGCCCTGCAGACGCAGAACAGAAGCAGCCTGACCATGTGAAAAGTTCACGATCTTCCTGAGATGAGGATCAGCCTGGAAAGGGGTTCTAGCCCCAATTTATAGGGAAGAACTAGAGAAATGCAGAATTTAGAACTGAAACTAGAACACAGGCCACTCTTCTTTGCTTCATACCAGAATATTGAACAATGCTTCCATAATCCCATTCACATATAATGAGTAAGTATAGAAATAATGTCTTAAGAGTTGTCGGTGTGAGTGAAACAGAGAGTAAGGAATATTCTTGAGAGATATCTGTGGGAATAATTTTTGCTGTTACTGACTCAACCCCTTTCCAGTTTGCCACCTGGAAAGCCCAGAACACATTTAGTTCTGTCTCACTCACAGCTCTGGTGGCCTACTGGTAAGGAGTTTACTGCCAATCCAAAGGCAGGCAGTTCAAACCCACGCACCTCTCTGAGGAATATGGGTCCCCTCCCATATGATTTATAGTATCTGAAAACCCACTGGAAGATCAGCTATGATTTGGTTCTAACCTGACAGCATATAACAACAACAACCATTCTCAGTAGAAACCCCCTTGCTGTATAGAAGCCAGATCCTCAGAGTCCCAGCCAGGCTTTGTAGAATTACATCTTTCTAAGGCAGGAGACCTGCATGTACCATGTTTGTCAAGTTAGTTAAAGGTGACCAGTGAGACAGGCATTTCATTATCAGCCCGTATTGCACTTGAAGGAAGTGGTATGACCCAGCTCTGTCAGAGAGTTTTTGCAGCATAAATATGCAGTCCTGTGAAACTAACCAAGGTCTGCTACACACTTGTTTAGGGAGAAAAGAAAGCAAGGCTCAGGGAGGGCATCTGGGTCTTGTTTCTCTTAGGATTGGAATGCAATGGCTACATTACAGTTTCCTAGGTCAGACAGTGAGATCCTTTGCCAAAAGTTCAAGTGAGAAGCAGTGTGACAGTAACTGATGATGGAGTGGGAAGTGGTTTCTGTCTGCCTCTGCTCATGCTAAACTGGGAAATGCTGCACCCTGGTGTGCTCACCACACAAGCCACCCCACTTCTAGCTGTTCACTTCTGTGGAATGATTCTGGCTCCACCTAGAGAATAGGGCAAGCCAGTGTAAATTACAGCATGAGGGGTGCTGACTCCAGGACAACTCTCGTCTCTTCTCTATAGCTATGTCTAGACCAGAATCACAAGCAGCAGGAATTCAATCCTGAGTAAGCAGTTTTGTTTGCCCTTGAAGCCTTGTAGCACAACAGCTCATTATTGGGTCCAGTTCAAACACTGCTTCCTTTCTGGAGCCTTATCTGAGTTTCAGATTTCTGCTCCAAATATCAATTACTCTAGTTTCCTCCAGCCAGTACTTCTGTTGATCTGTTTAAGCATTTACTTCACTCAGCCTCATGTGATGGCTGTGTCGTGTTGCTTTCCTCACAGTCTATGAGTTCTCCAAGGAAAGGAGCAAGTATAAGGGAATTAACACCTGAAGATGAAATAAATAGGGATTCTGGTAATTCTGTGATTAAAGCACTTGAGTGCACTTTGAAAGGTAGGTGGCTTGAACCCATCAGCTGCTTCATAAAAGAGGGAGCAGTCTACTTTCATGATTAAAGCCTTGGAAACTGTGGGTCATTCTATTCTGTTCCACGGTATCACTATGAATCAGAACCCACTTAATGACATAAAGAATATTGGGGTAGCTTAGTCTGCTGGTTAAATACATTAGTGTGGATACAAAGATTTCTAGTTTGAATGCTGTTTCTGGATTCCAGAAATGAGAAACAGACATAAGAGAATAAATTACATGACATAAATCCCAAATGTCAGATAATGTGCCAAGTACTCTATGCACATTATTTCATTTAATGCTTTCAATAAACTAACCAAGTATATATTATTATTTCACTTTAGAGATGAATAACATGAAATTTAAAGAACGTAAGAAATCTGCTCAAAAACATCCAGTAAAGGAAGCAGGATTACAGCTTAAAATCCAGATTCTCCTAACCCCAAAGCCTCTGTGTTCTGAAGCAGGATGTTGCCACCTTTAATTCCCTATGTGTCCCACTGCCTCTCCCCAGTCAGTACTATCCTTTCCCTAAACACAGACACAGCAGAGGCTTGATACACAGGAGCATCAAAAAAATATTTCTAGAATTGAACAGAGGAAAATGCTTTTATGGTTGGGTAAGGCACAGATTCAGAGTTGCTTCTGTGGACAGGAGTCATCAAAACGCCTCTACACCATGCAGGACAGAAAAGTTCACAAATGTGTTTTTCTCCATGGGGGAGAGGAAAGCAAAAGAAAAAGGAACATTATGGGAAACCAGGCTTTGCGTTCTGTGACTTTGGTCACGACACTTATTCTTTGAAACTTTTCTTGTCACGGCTGTTGCCTTCCCATAGTTGGAGTTTCACTGACTTTTCGTTTCACTGCTGTAAAATGTAAGTAAAACTATCTGCCTCATCTATATCAAAGAGCAGCCCAGGGACAGCTGTGGTTAAGACATTCCACTCTTAACCAAAGCACCAGCCACGTACAAGAGAAAGGTGTGGCAGGCTGCTTCGGTAAAGTTACAGCCGTGTAAAACCTATGGGTTTATTGATATTGCAAGACTTTTGTGATGACCAAATTATTAAAGATTTAAGTGAAAGTTCTATAGAAACTACAAAATTTTAAGTGTATCTAAGGGGTCCAGCAGTATGTTAAAAGGACAGTCTAAAAACTGGATTGAGGACAATTTAAAGACAGGTGACACTGATAGCCAAAGCAAGTTGGGTTTCCCCATAAAGGAGAAGGAAAATGAAAGCATACAATTCTATAAAGTAAAAGAAGAATATGACTTGGCATCATAACTATCTAGAGGGTAGGAGTAACCTAGCTGCCGGTTTGAGATTCCCTACTTACTGTAACTAATTATGGAGCATGGAAGGCCCATGTGAGATGAAAGATGAGAAAAGACAAAAAAAAAAGATCAAGAATGAGACACAGATCGCAAAATACTACATCTTTGTAAGTGGCCTAGTGGCAAGAAGCTGGGCTGCCAACTCAACAGCAGGCAGTTCAAATCCACCAGCTACTTCTTGGGAGAAATACAGGCCTCTGTATGGTCAGCTATGAGTTGGTTCCAACTTGACAACACATAACAATATAACTAGCTGTCAACTCATGGCTACTGAGTCAGAACTGACTCTTAGCTGTTCTTAGCTGTAAATTGCACAGCAGGAGGTTGCCCACCTTGTGTAAACATGGGTGGAGCTGTTGGTGGTTTCAAACCACCAAAGAGGTGTGATTTATGAGTTAAGAGTTCAACTCCCTATGAACTAGGCCACCAGATCTCCTTTCCATCTTTGTGGAACCTTAAAAACCACAAGAACTTACAGAGAACTTGTTGAAGATGTCAGAACACTAATGTGGAAAGTCCTGGAACTGGCTGTGGCCAATACTGCATCTCATGTCTTCACCCCTAAGCATCCCTGGGGTTCATTTGTTTAAAGGTTATACAGTCTGGGCTTGTACAATCTGAGGTTTGGTTTGGTGCACACCAGTGTTTTATCTACAGAAAACAATGTCTATGGCAATTAATTTTAAATTCATGAGTGATCTCTTACAACTGGCAATGGATTTCTTTATGGCAATATAAATTGATCACTGGTGGGCCCAATTTAAGTGGAGCCCAGGACATGTACCACATCCCAGATATAACACACACATATACACACACACATATACATCCCTTACCGTTAATGCTGTTGTTGTTGGGTGCCACTGAATCGAGTACAACTCATAGTGATCTATGAGCAACTGCTCTGAACACTGTCCTATTTCATACCATTCTCACCATCTGAAATTCGGTGGCATTTACTCATTCCCAGAATAAGTCACTGTACAAAACAAATGTAGATGTCTAGGCAGTTGTGGAAGGGGTGGACTTACCCATGAAAAGACCAAGAAGAAGCAAGAACCACAGTGGAGACAGGCCCATAACATCCACCAGCACACTGACTTGCTTCATTGATAGCTGATAACTGTTAGAAGAATGTAGACACATCCCATCCACAGTGTTTGTTCACAGACATTTCCTCTTTTTAGAATGTCACCACTTTAACCACATGCCATTTCTGAGTCACAATATGTGAGGACAATATGTGAGGACATATAAAAAGAACAACAATGAGAGGCACCAAAGTGAACTGTTTAAAAGCACAGTTGACCATGGCATATTCATGCTTCAAAACTCTTCAGAAGCCCCCATATACTGCAAGGCTGAACTTCAGGGTAATTATGCTGATCAGCTTATGCCCTTCTAATGTCATTAGTCCCATGTTCTTTCATCAAGGATTGTGCCTTAGACCATAGACAATCACTACAAAAAGTTCTTACATTCTTCCCACAGACCCCTTATGGTTTCTCACTTGATTTAGGTAATGCAGATAACCTGAATTAGTTTCTCACTGAAAGGTTGCGAGTTTGAATAGCAGCCACTGAAACCCTATAGAGCTCAAAATAACTAAA